GTTGATATATTTATATAATTTTTTAAGTCAATTTTGTTTATTGCAATTATTGACTTCATAATATAGATTTTTCATAATTGATTTTAATTTCATATAATTACAATACAACTGCACCGTTACAGTAATTTTACATAACCAAATATAGTCTATACAATTTTAATATTTAAAGTGCTACCGATGTTTAGATAAAATTTGAAAAATCTGATAATTTTTGTAAACTTTAAAAGATAAACACTGGATGATAAAACAAACAAGATGATAAATTGACTGAATTTATGATGTAAAATTACTGTAAATAAAAAGAGAGTCTAATTGTATAAAATATGAAAGGAGAGTTAATATACTAAATAATCAAATAAAATATTATACTGTTTATTATTATAATCGTTGAACGACTAGAATGGAAGGAAGGTTCTAACTGGAAAGTATATGTAGAATCCAAGTATAAACTGTTAAGGTTACCACTCTAAGGAACGTAAAGAATATAAAATCATAATTTTATTGCGTTATTTGAGCGAATATACAGTACAATCTCGGTCATATAATACTAGAAAATTCAGCAGGAATAAAAAATGCGAACATATAATGTGAAAACGTGTTTAAAAAATATTCCACGGTTCATTCATGTTTTAGCACTAAACCCACCGAACAGTCACTGACGTGTTTTGCTCTTTATAGAACAAAAGAGTGACTGTAAGTAGATTCATATTCATTAGAATTCTTATGAATGACAAGATTGAATCTGCTTACAGTCGGTCACGAAAATATTCGGACACATTCAATACGAAAAAATCTTGAAACATTGGATCAAATGATTTGAATTTTTGTAATGTTAGAATTTATTAAACAATAACCAAACAAATTTCTGTAAAGATTAAAATTGGCTGAAATGGCGAAAGAAATAGAAAAAATTCATATGGTTTTAACTTTCTTATTCGAGTGAATAATTACACTTTAAACATTGCATTTTCTTCGAAAATTTAAATCAAAATCGGCTAACGTTATTATAGCTAACAAACAATTGAAGATAGTGAAAATAGCGGGTATTCATTACTTCGAGCCAAAAACTGTGGAGAGTCTGGTGATTTTTACACCTTTCAATGTATCTAGCTCATAAAAACGTTAACCGATTTCGACGATATTTTCAGCATGCATTTAAGTTACCGAAATCTACAAAATTCAATGTCTACGGTTTAATTATTCGCTCAAACAGAAAAGTTAAAAAATATGAATTTTACCAACCAAGCTTAATATTTGCAAAAAAAGGTTTTGACGATTCATAGTAAATTACATTTCAAAAGAACTGGAGTCATTTATATTTAATATAAATATGTGTAACTTAATTTAAAATAAAATATGTGTAATCGGTCATTTTGACAAGGCAGGTTTAGCGTTGATCAGAACCCATTAAAAGGCTGCATAACTTTTTCTATCCCTGAAATTCGGATAATCGAGATTATATTATATTGCTCTGACATAAGGAACTTTTTGCAGGGTAACTTCTCGTGTTCACGTCATGTACGCTCGTACGATATTCCTTTTGAACGCGATGTGTATGGCGTTAGCCGCGGACAAGCCGATTCCCATCATCAGTCAAAGCCAAGACATCAGCCCGGACGGCAGTTTCTCGACGAAATGGGAGACCGGGAATGGGATCTCCGTTCAAGAGGAAGGTATCTTAAAAAATGCTGGCCAGAAGGACGCAGAGGCCGAAGAGGTCCGTGGCTCGGCCTCGTGGACCGCGCCAGACGGCACCAAAATTAACCTCGGTTGGCTGGCCAACGAAAATGGAGCCACTTTCGATGGTGCGCATTTACCAACGCCACCACCGCCACAGCCGATACCACCGCAAATCCAACGCGCCCTCGACTGGATAGCCGCCCACCCCGACAAAGACGCGAAGAATAGATTGTAATTTTGCATGACGTTCCATTTCGGCGAGATAACATTTTACGAACGTATCCGGCGCGAGATCGCGTCCTCTTCTCAAAACGGTCCGGAGGCTGAGCCTTTAACGCTGCCTTCGCAGGAACGCACATTTCAGAATTGTTTGCACCGCGTGTCCCGGAAAATTCATCTTTCCGCTCTGACTGAAATCGTTATTGTAAGCAATGCTTGCTTCCCCGACGCTCCCAGTTTTTGTTATTCTGTCATAAGTAGACTGCGGATTTTTATGCGAAATAAAATTTGCCTGCATGGATTTTTCGATACTGGAGCTACGTAGACGTTTTATAACTTTAACGAGCTCAAAATAAGATAACGGTTGTTTCAAATTCTTTAAATGTTTCTATAATCATTCTTTAAACCGCGTTTCGCATTTGATCTACACCGTTTTGTAGTCAAATTCGCAGTCCAGTCGTAAGTGTTCCACATTTAGGGTTAACTTGTCATGTGAGAGTGGAATAAATTCTTTAACTATATTAAATGTGTTCTTTATTGATCTTGCGGTATACAGCGGCTTCGAAAATCGTACACTTTTACGTTTTTTGACACATTCAATTATTCTGAACTGTTATGATTTCGTAGAAACGAATACAGTGATAAGCAGGAGAAAAGTTTTCTTCAAAATTTTTACAAAATTCATGGAGTAATAAAATGATTCCTTATTTATTTATTTCGAAACGTTGAATGCGTCAATCGGAAAATATTTTGTTCACAAAACTACGATATTTTTATAAAAGCATTTAATTAGGACAACAGAATTATGCTGTTAATGGATTACTAGATTGCGGATATTTATGGAATATAAAAATGTTTTGCGTCAATTGCAAGAAAAAAGGAGTTACATCAAGATGAATTTCTTCTTTTCGCAATTTTCATGAGTGGAAAATAGCGCAACAATATTATTAAATTGTAATACAACGTCTTCAGAGTTCCATATTTCATGTAGGCATTTATATCATAAATGCATAAAGTCTACAGTCTAATTATTACAGTACTGTATCTCGGAAATTATGGTTACAAGCTGAGAATTTTAAGTAAATTTGTATCTACTTCACTTTCGTTCGAAGAAGTTACTTTCGAATTTGTTTCTGTAACAGCATTTATGGAAAACATACATGTAGATATGTACATACAGATATGTACAGCAGATCACTTTCTAGTACATTTTCGTCAACGTGAAATTAGCTTTCGATAAAACTGTGTTTATATGAAAAATTTCGTAACTGAATACTGTCCGCTTGCATTTATGACATCGGCCACTGAGCAACGACCATAACTTGAAGAGGTTCGAACTCGATGACGCCCACGGAGACCAAAATGCAAAACGACCACCCACTAACAAAAATAAAATTTCTTTAAACTCGATAACTGCTCCACGATTCGTGGAGCATAACATTGTTTAGATCCTGTATCAACAATCCGTTGGTCGCCGAGTGACCTATTTGATAATTTAACAATTATATTTGTTTTCATAATAATCAGAATTATAATTTTGATTTTTTATGTTTAAAGTTCCAAAGCATATTGCAATTATTTTCTCAATAAAATTTATATCTTATTGTTCACTAAATGAATGTTTTAAAATATAAATACCACTGACCCAAGTGACCCATCGAGCGACACACTTGATAATTTGACAATTATATTTATTTGTATAATAATCAGAATTATAATTTTGATTTTTTATGTTTAAAGTTTCAAAGCATATTGCAACTATTTTCTCAATAAAATTTATATCTTATTGTTCACTAAATGAATGTTTTAAAATATAAATACCACTGACCCAAGTGACCCATCGAGCGACACACTTGATAATTTGACAATTATATTTATTTGTATAATAATCAGAATTATAATTTTGATTTTTTATGTTTAAAGTTTCAAAGCATATTGCAACTATTTTCTCAATAAAATTTATATCTTATTGTTCACTAAATGAATGTTTTAAAATATAAATACCACTGACCCAAGTGACCCATCGAGCGACACACTTGATAATTTGACAATTATATTTATTTGTATAATAATCAGAATTATAATTTTGATTTTTTATGTTTAAAGTTTCAAAGCATATTGCAACTATTTTCTCAATAAAATTTATATCTTATTGTTCACTAAATGAATGTTTTAAAATATAAATACCACTGACCCAAGTGACCCATCGAGCGACACACTTGATAATTTGTCAATTATATTTATTTGTATAATAACCAGAATTATAATTTTGATTTTATATGTTTAAAGTTTCAAAGCATATTGCAATTATTTTCTCAATAAAATTTATATCTTACTGTTCATTAAATTAATGTTTTAAAATAAAACTACCACTGACCCGAAACGTTTTCTTAATAGTCATATTTTCGTTGATCTCAACCTGCAACCTAAAAAGGTTGCCTGGTTTAGATCAATATTTTAAAAGGTATTTTAACGCTGAAAACGATTTAACTTCACAGGCCTCGCAAAATATCTGCAAACACGAGTTATTTGTTAGTCTGCATATCGTCTATCCCCTTGAAGTCTCTGTTTCGAAAATACTGGCTGGCACATGTGTGAAGAAAGGTATGCAACTATTTGATTTCGACGTTACGAGATTTGCGCAATTTTGATTCCGAATTGCTCGGCGGAAAGGGCGCATAGAGTAAATATTAAGTTGGATTGTTAACACATGAGTGTTTGTTTGCATATAGACGACCTATGGGATAGAACGTAAACAAACGATGTTTACCTTTTTGTGTACCTAGATTCATGATATCGATCTCCATACACCGGTCCCTACCAAAAGCAACGTTCATAACGCGTGACTCGCTGATATTTGTCTGATAAATTTAATTTTTTGTTATTATTAGTCCTTTTCGCTCGACTGGCGATTCTAAGACACCACTAAAAAATTGTTATATCACGTTTCAAAATAATTTTGACATTATCATTGTTTACATTTGAAAAACTGTCAAAAATGTAATCGTTGCATGAGTCACAAAATTCAATTTCACATGTATAAAATGCACCGAGTTATATAAAATTTAAATGCTATAAATCAGGAAAACTATTTTCGATTTCATATTAAAATGGCTCCGACTGCAAAGGGCTAACGATACCCCAACGTAAACTTGAGCAATTGTGTAGCATAGGATAACAGAAATAAAATAGTTTAATACGTGAGAAAAAATCATTCGACAGTCTTGAAAAAATGAATTATGGAAATATGACAACAGATCATATTTCTGTTCGCAAATCAACTGATTCCTATGAACATCATGATCTGATTAATTGAAACACGAATGACTTCACGATCGATATTCGTAGTGTACGATAATCGAGTTTTTCAACTTGAACGGTTTCTATCGATCATTCAAATTGCCATCCATGATTCAGAGCCACTCTGTATGCAACGTATAAACAAACATTAGATGAATCAAGGAATTAAAGGAACGAGAGAGAAGCTCAGATCGTACTATACGATACGAAATTCAATGAAGGAGTTAGGCAGGGGGAAGGAGACAGAATGATAGGAGAAAGTTGTAGTTTACGGTACGGATTGAGTGTGACATGTTTATGCCGGAGCGTGGGTGGCGATCGAAAGAGGGAATGAATGAGACCGATAATATTCAATTAAAAGACGTATGAGTCGCATACATTATTTTTCGTACTACCGTGGATAAAACAAGATCAAAATCGTATATCGTAGAATTACGTAAATGATGCGGTGCCGTGTCGTAGTAATTTCCTTTTACGGTGCAAGATACTGTCTAGTCAATACAAATAGATGGTACGGACCTAGTGAATTAAGTGAAATAGAACATACAAATATGGCGATAAATGTTCGTTCGTTTGAAGTAAAAGGCAAATATTGTAATAATTAAGAAGATTAATAAATGGGAATTATTATATATAAGATATATATTTAATTACGACGTCATTTATTTATTATTCTTTCATTGATTTTATTTATTAATCATAATGCAAAACATCACACTGTACGTTAAATGACTTGATCATTTTTGATAATAAGAAATATATCAAAAGTATGGTTTCATTAGGAACATGAGAAAATCGTTTATTTATCGTTTAATAAAAGTATAGCAAAGTGGACGAACATTATTTGGAACATTTGTTAACATAGACTTTATCCAGAAATCTCTTTATCATACTTATTCCATTATTTACATTTTATTCTATTTACTCTTTTTAACTCTTTAAACTGAAAATCGAATAAAGTCCATTCAATGACCTCCGTATTTCGAAAACTATGACGTTGATAAAATATTACGACGCTCCATAAAATCGGCGGATAAAAATCTTATAAATTTTAATAATGCACATACAGAAAAATACTTCTATCGCAGACAAGTAAAATAACATGAACGATATTTGGTAATTGTGTTGACTAAGAACACATGATTTATAATTCGTGATATTTATGATGTCAGTGAACCTCTAATGTGTTAAAATCTCTATTTGAATCTAAAAATAACAGTAATAGTTTGCATTGGTAACGTAAGATAGAAGATTAAACATTGGGAAAATCTATTGTAAATAGAAGACATTCTTTAGAGTACTAAAATGGAGAAGTATGATGTCACTTGTGAAAGTCCAATGAAAGTTCTTCAAGGCACTATTGGTTTGGGTTCCTTGAACCATAAAAGATGAGCATGACTCGTCAAATAACTCAAGAGAGTTACGCAATGGATATTCCGATAAATAAAAACGTCCACTTGTTTATGAATTATTTTATTGTTAACGTATTATATCTTTTGGAATAGTTTGCGTCTACACAAACATACAACTTTTTGTTGAAGTTATTTGTTAACCGTGTTATTTTATTTTAATTCTTCAACTTCGCTTATTTGATTATCCATTGTGCAACATCTCAATTAGTAGTCTGTTTCTAATTACACCACTATTAGCAAATGAAGTACATCTCGAATGTAGTTAGTAAGACAAGTGATATTATTGTAGTTATTATTAATGATTTAATAATTTTTTTTATATTGCAGTAGATCGGGCAGAAATATAAACTATAGAAATAAATATAGTTAATGAAGAGATATAAATTTAAAGAAATATTATTTACTTACATATTTACGTTTCCTTCAAACGGATTTGTTACTTGACATTTTAGACGAACATCTTGTGGCATATCCTTGCATATTCTTTGTATTTGCCATGAACAGTACGATATTACAAAATTTGTATAGCGATAGTCCACCATGAGTAACTAGATTTATGATTTATAGGCTGCACACCTCTATTAAGGCAAATATGAAAAAAATTGTTTACGTCAACAATCTTCAATAATATTTGTATCATAAGGTGTCGTTTATCTATTGTGGTTTCCATAGAACAATATATGAAAATAAGCATTATAGTACAACATCTAAACCATAAAAGATTTTAGAATGATATATGTATTTCAAAATATTGCAAAACATTTGTCTCTTCGTTTTAAATCAAATTGTACTAGAACAACGGAGTATCT